AACTTGGCAAGAACTGCTGCATGGGGCATACAAGTTTGGGCATTTGCTTAGGGTTGCAGCATTGAATTCCTTGAGGAAGGGGGAGTTTGGATGCTGTTTCAGTGAGGAACAGATTTGTTTGCTAATGATTGGGACCATGATAGCATGATGAGTGAGAGCTTTTTTCACTTGTCCAATCCTTGCCAATTTAAGCCCCCTTCATTACTGCCTTGGAGGGAAAACTAAAAACCTATGCCAGAAAAATCTGAAAAGGTGGTTCTCTGATCTTCTTACAAACAGTGTCTCGCACAATTTCACCCAGACAGCCTTAAGAGTCTCACTAGTTTCAGAGCCTAAGATACATAAGGCCAAATGTTGCATATTTTACATCTAAGGCTGCTCCGAAAACATAAGGTGCTTATTAGCTGAATTAAAATGGGGTCTTTTTAGTTGTTGCTGAACCAGAGGCATATACTTTGGGGCTTTCCAGTGATATGATGGACTTGACCCTTTGCCCAAGAGATAAAGATTGCACAAATTGATGAACAAATTTCAAAAAGTTGCCCCTGGTGTAAGACAGAAGCTATGATTATAGTATGGTAGGCACATAAAAGGATTTTACATTTGATTACATCCCAAAGGTCTTGGTTACTTGAGAGAGGGCTCAGAACACAGTGTTAAGTGTAAACCAGAAAACAAATTAAATATGAAATAGATCCTAGATAGATGGGGTATGTCTCTGGATTTCTGCGAAGGCCGACATTGGGACTGCCAGCAATACATACAGCACACTGTGGTACTGGTGATATCATAGCTGAGTTGTCAATGCAAAATACTATTAATTTTAGCAAAAGGTCATTAAATCTTTGTACTTTGGGTTCTCTTCACTTCCTTTATAAGCATTAAATGCTGGCTCCCTTTTTTGAGCCCAGTTTTGGCTAGAAAACAAAGTATTTTATCACTTCATAAAAATCACTGCAGAAATGACACCAGCAGAGAGCAACAAAGCCCTCGTGGGATACAACTACTGGGAAGCCAGCTGGGCTCTAGGATCAGCATTGCAGTGCAAGTGACTTGAATTCCTGCATCAGCAAAATGTCAAGCTACTGCATGTCATGGACATTCTGGATTGCTTTTAGAAGAGTGGAAACCAAGAAGGCTAAATGATTGAATTCCAGGTGTCTACGTATAGCCTATGATCTCATCTATGTTGTAAGATAGAGACAAGACTGAAAAGAAACACAGCAAAAGCATTAACAGTAGTCATTTGTGAGCACTGGGAATTGTTAGTGTTTAGCTGTTTTCCTTGTAACATTTTAACTTATCAATGTTTGCAAATTAGCATTTAGAATCAAAACAAAGCCATAAAAACATGCAAATTCTCTGGGAAGGAATAGGTTAGATGTTTATGATCTTTTTAATGTTAAGAACCACTGGATGACCTGAACTAATCTACAGTCAAGAAAGCTGGCAGATGTCATTGGTGAATGTAGGAAAGAAAAATAATGAGAAACAAAGGAGAAAATTAGATGAGAGAGTAAAGAAGCTGGGAACAAGAGGAAGAGAGGATGAGAAACAAAAATAAGACAGATGGCTAGATCTTCCATGCTTGTCCCAGAACTCAACTGATTTAAGACAATTTCCAGAAGTTTTTCATGCATTCCTGAAACTTATGAACTTCTTTAAACTAAAATAATGACTGATACTTAAGAAGCATTGAGTTTGATGTTGGGAAGGGCTATTGACATATTAACAAGTAGTGATTTAGAAACATTTCAGTCACTGAAAGTCTTTATATTGTGTGTTAAGATCACAGTAGATAAACTTGAGACCAGTGATATTTAATACTTAAATTTTAGTTGATAAGTTCAAATATACAAGCTTTACTTTTCAAAAAAAGTGATAGGATAGCAGAAGCTATTTTGGTAAATACAAAAAGTGGCCAAACCCAGTTTACTTCTGCTTTGTTTTGGTTTTAGATATGTAGTAATGGGAAAATTCTAAATATCACAGAGTAGTTGCTAATAGTAACAGTTTTTATAGCTCCTCTTGCAATCTTAAGGTACTTAATTTTTCAATTAAATAGATGTTAAAGTAAAGAACTTGATGAGGGAAAAAGGTGTTTACTTTGATAATGCAACATTTCTACAATGCTTACAGCAATTCTGACAATTTAACTTAGTTTGGATCAGTTAAAGGTAGTTGTATAAAGTGTGTTGATATATTATTTGTAAATTATTGCTTCAAATAATTTCCAAGTATATAAAACAAAACCCAAGGAAGCAACCCTGTGGCACAACAGGACACAATTTGAAAACCTGTAATGTGATGCAACATACAGTCCTTTGACTTCTACTTACGGTGAGAAAACTGGTGCTCAGAAGGTAAAGTAAATAAACTAAAAACATTTAGTGCTGCTTTGTTGCCCATGGTTCTTCTCAGTCTTGTAAGGGAATAAACTTGGCATCTGCATGGGATTTGACTTTTCAGTACAATAACAGGCCCCAAATCCCAGCATGTAGAGGAAAGGTGAGTAATAATCTCAATGGCTAGATATAACTTTTTTTTTTTAATTCAAAATTATATCATGTTCTACTGTGATCATTTATGTTTCCCATTTTGGGAGTTTCTAATTTTGAACACAAGTATGTTGGTGTAATATCATGTGTCATTCTTGTTTTCATTATTAGACAATTAAGTCTTTAGTTAGCAGATAGTTCCTTGAGGGTTGGATTTTAGAATGTCTGATGGGATAGTAAATCTACTTTATAGAGTTTCTTCTACTTTTCTCAGATCAACACATCTCATCTTGGAATCAGGATGGTTACTTTGGTTCCAGGTAGGCAATGCCTGTACTCCCTAAATCCAAGAGTAGCATAGCTACATTTCCTAAAGCAGCTTCCTTTTAAACCTCTCCTACTGGAAAGTCTTAATTTTTACAGCTTTGTCTAATTATTTCTTCAATAAAAAAAACAGCTTCCTGACATTTGCCTGTAACTTCTATTTTCCTTTTCTTTTTCTCACTTTCTTTCCCTTTTTTTAAAAGTAGCCACCTGTCCCAACATTTATACATGCACTGTATTTGATGTTTTAAAATAACACAGGATATCATAAAAGCATTAATTGCATGGTAGGAGTAGTCAAAATCTCATATTAGTTATTTGGGAGAATGCTTTGTCTGGGGTCCAATTATTAATGGAGCTAATCAATTACCAAAGCCCACAGATACAATTGGTGTATTCATGAAGATGATCATTATGAAAATGGGTAGACTTCTTTCAATGTAGAATATGGCCTTTTGCTTTCAGATAATAAGAAATGGGCCAACAGGGAAGAGTGGGTAAAAATCAGAGATCTAAAAAAATGAGTAAAATTTTATGATTATAATCATTTTCTTGATACTGTTAACACAATTATCTTTCATGGCCATCTCTTCACTGAAGCTTTTGTGGGGGATTAATTCATTTGTCATTTCTTCTAAAAATACATATGTGAATTTTCACAGAAATGTGCACAAGACTTTCAAGGTCTTCCTCTGGCTGAACCAACCTATCTGAATTGAGAAAACTATGCCTTACATCCTTCTGTTACAGTCAGATAAAAATACATACGTAGAATAATTTTAAAACAGGGTTGAAGTGCATGGGTCATAGTAATTATGCCTAAAAATAGTCTAAGTGCTTAATATTTCCAAAATAAAGGAACCCAAGCAAAATTTTAATACCTTATTCAGTTTTTATATCATATCCAGCTTTTAATACATAATTTCCAATATAAAATAAGCTAAGTTAAATTTCAGCTAAATTTTAGAGTTATAAAATATCTTATTCTTTCTGTTCCTTCAACGAGTTCATTTTTATGAGGCAGATAGTAGGATTCCTACAAGTTACTTAATAATAGCAATTTCACACCACATGTAGAACTTATAATTCTCAAATAAAAGGTAGAGTTAGTATAAGAACACAAACTTTAGAAAATTTACCCCAAACAAAAAAATTAAATCGCATTGCTTATAGCCTCAAGACAGAATGACAAATACCCATATTCTCTATGTAGTATTCTAACTATTGGAAGTTTTCTTTTTATGCATATATAATTAGTAAAATATAATTTTAAAAAATAAAATTGAGGTACTTCCCAGAAATCCAAGGAGTTTGGAAAAGGTTTTTTTACCTTTTGGTCTTCATAATTACTTTTGTATGGGAAGAAGTTTCTTATATCCCTTCTAATAAAGTGAGGAGGAGTCAGCTAAGTTATCAAAGAGAATCATCAGGAAGCATTACAGGTACAAATGCAAATGTGACTTTTATGAAAAGATTCTTAACTACCCTTCCATGACTACATATCATCTAAAATATTTCATGTTTTCAGGCTGATTCTTGATCCTCCAAGTCATCTGAGAGCCAATTATGGTTTCCAAGAACAAACAATGATGCTTCAGAATGTTAAATATCTCTTTAAGGCTCCAAATTCAAAGGACTTTAAAAAAATATGACTAGAGGAAGTAAGTCCTAAGTTTGTTCATAAGTAGATGAAATGCTCTACAGTTGGTCTCAAATCTAGTTATTTATCGTGGACCACCTATGGGCTAAGATGAATCAGCTATGACAATCAGACACAGTCTACTATGATCATGTCCCTGATCAGGGCATAAATAAAATGGAAAAGTCCTGCAATACTGTGCCATTACATTGGTTACGAACAGCAAGTAGGTCATTGGCCTGGACCTTGCATCGAGCAAAACAGGAACCAGAATGAAAAGAAATCAGGAGAGAAAATAGCTCTGCAGGGTGCTTCGCCTGTTCCTTTACAGAAGAGTCTGTGGTCCCTGAGATGGCATCACACAGCAGTAAAAACAAGGAGCTGGTGCCGAGCACAGGATCATGAATAGACAATGGACAGCAACGCTTATTAGTTTTCATTCCATTTTATTTCATTTAAAAATTTCACTTTAAAATTTTAGAGGCTTAATTGGAGCTTGGGTTATGTTGATGATAAATAATTGACTAAATTTGACTGACCTGGCTGGGCAAGGATCCAAGTTGCACTCCTGGAGCTTGGGTTTGGGTTTGATGTTCTCTGGATAATAATGACAGTATTGGTCAGCAACCACACGGTTGCTCCGAAGATCGTAACACTCAGCCGATGTCAGCTGGTAACCTGCAATGTCAAACCGTTCAGGGAAGTTTAAGTGCACACGCCAATATGGCCTGTTTATTTAGGATTTATGGTCATCTCACATTAATGGAAATTATTCCCCAATGCCCCAGTCCTTTCCAGGAAAAAAAAAAGACTCATAAATGGAAGGTTCATTAATTTTTGCAGGCCTCCAATAACTGTTTTCTCAAGCAATCCACTCAGATTTTAATATTTAAAGTATTTCATAGGGCATGAATTATATCCAGGCATAGCTAAATTCTAAGACTGTAGTGAGTGCCATTCTTTTTGTTTCTTTTGCATAATCTAAAAATATAGCCCACAATATGTATCTGAAAAAGATCATCAGTATTTGTTTACCAAACCTTCTTACTCAAAGATACCCAACTGCCTCCCTACCACCCAGGGAATAAACTTCCAAATAAATATATAAATAAAGTCAATTCCAACATTTCCTTCCTTGGAGTATAGCTAAGTATCAGATCCTGCCAGCTGCTTGGGAGCATTATTTTGGCCCAGATGCAACCTGAATTGATTGAGATGATTAAATGGACGATTTGGATCCCATTTCTCTACAGAACTAAAAACAAACAAAAAAACTTCTGTACAATTCATTTTTTTCTTTTCACAATTTTTTTGATCATTTCTCTTTAAATAAAATCTCCAGCCCATGTTAGCATCCACCCACACATTTACACTGGAGAATCTCTAAAAAAAGTTGCTGTGTAACACTTCTATTCATGATGCTTTTTTAGCTTTCCTATGGACCTCTTCTTTGTCCTGTGTGTTTCCGTGGAGGAGTGGAGGCCAGGGCTGGGGGAAGTGGGGAGCACGGATGATCTAGACATAGATTCTTCAGGTGAAAAATAAATGTACTTAAAAATTTTAAAAATTAGGCTGTTTGTATCATTCTAACCCTAACCAGTAATGCAAATACATTCTCCTTGGCAGGTGTTTGAGTTATTGCTAAATAAGGATGAGGAAGCAAGATTTAAATTGTCGAGGGACTTGTAAAAGATTTTAGGAAATCAGAAGGAGGCTTTTAAGCCAGATTTCCTGGCTTGAGGCTGTGTTCTCAGACCACCCACAAAAATGAATTGTTCATTAAAGACCTAAAAAAAGACCTTTTAAAATTCTACTGGAAAGATGAAAAGCATGGAAAGCAATGTGTAAGAACACATGTTCCATATAATATTTTGTTAGAAGAAAATCAAGTAGCAAAATTATATTTTAGAAAAGTAAATATACTTTACTTTTCAATTCCATTGCAGCTAATTTTATGACAAACAAATCATTTTATAATTATCATATAATAATTTCTACTCAAGGAAGGAATTTATCTCGCAGTAAAATTTGGGCGCAAACAATAATTATAAATCAGAATTTGCTAGCCTAGCCTACATTTGTTGCCTTGAAGCTAGTACAGAGTGTATGAAATCAAAGGTTAGGACAAACATGTAGTAAATGCCCAAAATGATCAGATGGTCATGTTTTCTAGTTTCATAAGGTGTTTGGAGTTGCAATTCTTTACACTTAGCAAAATGTCCAAGTTTGGAACCAAAAACAGAGAAGGGAATTTAGAATCATTTCTTCAGTAATTTTTAAGCTGGTCCATGAATTGGGAAGAAGGCTGGTCTCCACATCCCTCACATCTTGACTCATACAGTTTTCCTCCTATGTAGGTTTCCTAGCAAGATCTTTTCTGAAGAAAAAGTTTGATACCTAAGAATATATGAAAACCACTGATATTTCTGCTTTTCCCCTCAGATGTGAGGAAAATGAGGCTCAGAGGGATCCAATATAGATAAATCTAATATTAATTACTTTATTATACTTTAAGTCATTGTCAAGGCTATTAAAATCATACTCTAAAAGCAGCTCTATATGAAACTGGCACCGTCTGCACACAATTGAATTGCTGTTTCTCACAAAGCCTGGTTTTTGTTTTAAAAAATTATCCCTTTGGATTTCTTTCTTTGAAACTGTTTCCTGTACTGGTTATTAATAGGTACATGAAAACAATCTATTCCCATGAAACCTCAAAGTAATTGGCAGTTTATTTTTAAACAAAGCAATTTTCTATTCAGGATAGATAGAACAATTGGAAACAGTCTATTGAAATGCTTAAAATGTTGAATTAATGGTTATTTTATAATAACCGTAAAACACTTCATAGCATTTTGACTTTTTCTTTTAAGCTAAAATCCAATGTTGTTCTACAGAATACATTTTCAGTCATTTGCTCACATTGCATAGGAAGAGGTAACATGGGTGAATTATATCAGAATGTATCTGTTTTCCAAAAATGGCTGGGTAATCATTTGTCTCCAATTTGAGGCAACATCCTTCTATCTCTTGTCAAATTAATAGTGGTACCTATGTGGACACATTATTCAATTAACTGGCATCCATGAAACTAGAACCAAAATATTTTTGATGTGCTAATTTTCAAAGGAATATACATACAGTTTTACACTACTTATACTAGGAAAACTTTAGAAACTGATAGTCCAGAAATGCTTAGTTGGCAATGAATTCAAAATATTCATATACTTCTTCTTACTCTTCTGGAAAGAATGTGGTAGCATATACCAATGGCCACAAAAACTGTGAAACTCCTTGACCTCACTCCTATTTATCACAAGAAAATAATTTGAAAGGAGAAAAATATTTAGATATTAAATTCATTTTATAATCATAGAAAATATTATGTGCTTAATATAGCAACAACTTTAAACCAAATGATCTGCTATAGAGAAATGACTAAATAAAATATTCTGAAATAATTGAGGGAATTATTATGTAACCAGAATAATTATGAAGAGCAGACAATGGGACAAAAATAACTTTTCTGATAGCAAAAAAATGCTATGTATGCCACAGATGTGACATAGCCAAAAACAGGCATTCATTTTGTGACTTCTCAGGAGAAATGCACCTAATGTCTACAGCAAAAGGCATTCCTTATAACGCATGCAATAACAGCCTAAGTCTACAATGCACTGATTTTTGCCCCTCATAGTTAGCAACTTATTCCTCTAATTAAGTAAGTTTGACAATTACTCTTTACTTGGTTCACTTCAACCAGATGAGTAGTTTATCCTCAAATGAACAGAATTTGTCAAATCATGATACATATCTGTAGTCATGGCCCTTCATGAAACTAGAGAAAGCATTAAAGTCCATTTCCTGAGCTGGGATTCTACAGGCAGAAGATGTCCCTTGGGCATCTCGCTCAAGGTAATCTTCCTCATAGGAGGGCTTCAGGACTGGATTCTGTTCAGAAGGACCTGATCCACCCTAGTACTCAGTTTCTTCCATGCTGATGTTACTCTGTTCTTCTAATAGCCAAGTTTTTCCTTACAGAAGCCAACAGCATCTTGATGAGTAAACACCATTACCTCCTCCACAGGTTGCTGAGCAAGGAAAGAAATCCGTCTCCCTCCACCGGTGGATGATAGGCTGATAGAAGATGAACTGCACTGTACTGTCGGCAGGCCCCGAGTTACGGACCTGCAGGAGACAACAGAGAGGTAGAAGGACTAATGTGACAGTGTGGTGCTTTCCTGGTCCTTTGCAATTTAGGACAAATGCATATAGTAGTTCTGATGATCCAGGGCTCTGTGGAAGACTGCATCTGGAGAGAAGGGGTGATGGCAAAATGGTCCTTGCACTGCACCTGCTGTTTCTATTGTTATCTCCTCTCTTTTGTTGCCACAGGACAAAGAAAAGCAAAATCTCAATTTGTGATGCAGGTGCTCTCTTATCCCAGTACAGTACTCCTTCCCTACCTTTATTTCCAACCTCTTTGCTATAAACCTCAAAATTATGTGAATATTTAAATATAGGTTCAGAAATAGACAATTTAAGAAAATTTCAAATGCCATACACTGCAGAAAAAGACAAATATCATGTTTTCCATGATTGGTAGTAATTAATATACAGAGCACAAAAAATGTAATGTATAAAAGCGAAATTTACTTTTTTTTTTTTTTTTTTTTTGACAGGCAGAGTGGACAGTGAGAGAGAGAGACAGAGAGAAAGGTCTTCCTTTGCCGTTGGTTCACCCTCCAATGGCCGCCGCGGCCGGCGCGCTGCGGCCGGCGCACCGCGCTGATCCGATGGCAGGAGCCAGGAGCCAGGTGCTTTTCCTGGTCTCCCATGGGGTGCAGGGCCCAAGCACCTGGGCCATCCTCCACTGCACTCCCTGGCCACAGCAGAGAGCTGGCCTGGAAGAGGGGCAACCGGGACAGAATCCGGCGCCCCGACCGGGACTAGAACCCGGTGTGCCAGCGCCGCTAGGCGGAGGATTAGCCTAGTGAGCCGTGGCGCCGGCCGAAATTTACATTTTTGAGATTTGATGATTGTTTGTAGTCCTTGTCTATACTCTTGAGAGTGGTTTTTCTACTTGCTACTTGTTGAATTCTTTATTTAGTGGAAGGTTAAGCTTGTGATTATAAAATAAGCTGAAAGTATATCATTGTAAAAATTAAAAGAAAAATAAGAAAGGAAGGAGGAGGTAGAGTGGAAGTGTAGAGGGGAAGGAGATAGGTTGAGAAGTATCTTTATGCTCTTAAATCTGTACATATGAAATACATGAAATTTGTTCACCTTATACAAATAAAAAATTTAAAATAAAAAACTGAAGCATACTGCCCTTGGTTCAAACAAGAAAAGAGTTCAAGAATTAAGTAGCTCTTCCCATTGGCAGACACACAAATACATCCTCTTCTTGTCAACTTGATGATTCACATATTTTAATGTGCAAAGTTGCCAATTAGAAGCTTGTTAAAATGCACATTCCTGAGCCTATATCCAGAGCTTCAGGAAATTCAAGGAAGTCCAAGAACCAAACTTTGAAAAATACCAAGTTTTATTATAGAAGTACTTTCACACAAAATTGATGCTTATAGAAACTGTAACTTTTTTTAAAAGAGGTGAATATGAGACAATAATTTTTTAATTGTTCTTAAAAAGTATAAAGTTGAGAAAACTCACACTAAAAAAACAGAAGAAGTACCTAACACAAACAAGTAATTTCATGAAGACAGGATGATGTATCATGTGCAGGGAAGCTTAGGCTGTTTTAAATTCTGTAAAGCTGTGGTATGATCAGTTCTTTTGTACGTAGCAGTGTATGTTCTTATACGCAATTACTGACCCATGCTTTAAAACCCACATGGCGTGTTACAGACCCGCCTTGTTTATTTCTATGATGGGTTTTGAATAAAGTATTTCCTGTCTTAATAAAAAGAAACAAAAGATATGTCATGCAATGTTTAGCGTGTTGGGCAAGGCTTGGACTATTTATTACATTAAAGGAGGTTCCAAGTACAATTGAGTGGATTACTTTTAATTCCAATTCCATCACAGCAATTAGAGAAGCAACAGAGTCCAGCTGCATCACATGGTGTGTCTTTGTTCGATATTTCTAAGTTTTACCACTGTCCTAACTGCCATTCACATAGGTTAAAGTGGTAGATTTGGCCTTCAGATTATTTTAAAGACAGCTCTATTTCTCTGCTCCCAAGTCAAAACAAGTGGGTTAGATACCTAGAGTCAAGGGGAAAATAGGAATACTGAAGAAACTGGACTAAGACAAAACACAAGCATGCTAACCTCTGGGTGTTTGGAGTGTAGATGGAAATGGTCCCCAGAAAGTCTGGGAGAGCTGTAATGCGGAAAGAAGAAAGAAAACCAGCAGACCATCTCATATTGCACTGGGAGTCTGACCCATGGAACATTCAGGTCTTTGCTAATTAGAATAAACAGTGATACAATTCCCTACTTTAAAACAAAAACAGCTGAAGCAATACAGTGTCTTTCACAAAGAGGGAGCACTACCTGTAGATTAATATTTCTCCGTCCTATGTGTCACATACAAGGACACCTAATTGCTTGCTTAGGGATGTAGTATTAATCACGTTCTTTAGAAAGCTCTTTACCCCTCTAGCTCACAAAAGCCTCTAGGTCTCTAGGGATGTGTGGTTATCATGCTGGAAAGCTATTAGAAGAGGACTTTCATTTGAACAAAACCTCCATGAAAAAATAAAAAGGCCAGAAAATTTGTTCAGACCTGGAAAGATATTGTTTTTCTGACTTTTTTTTTTTTTTTTGCAGGGGTGCCATTTGGAATGCTGGAAAGTAAACTGAATCCTGGGACAGTGAGAGGAAAAAACAGGCTGTTGTGGCCAAAGTAAGGAGGATATAACATCATGAGACTCAGAGAAACCTTCTAGAATATGCACAGTGTCTGTGCTTGCCTTTTGGTTTGGTTAAAACGGCAGAAAGGTGGAGGTCTTTTTATATTATTATTATTATCATCATTATTATTATTATTATTATTTTCAGGTCCCCTAGAAGATGCATGGAAAGCACCTCCTGCCCTACAAGGAGAAACAAATCACAAGAAGGAGTTCTGGTGTTAAGAGAGAGGGTTGGACAGTTAGCAAACACCATGCTAAAGAAAGAAAACAAGAGGCTTAGAGAATTGTTCTTCATTTGTTCCACGTAAACTATGTATACATTGCCATAAGGCTGAGGCCCTACACTTTTATTGAAGAGATTGGAAGTCAATAGGGACCTCTTTTATTTTAAAAGGATAAAATCAATCACTAGCTATCCAAATCTCTGGATAATCTTGCCTTGTTTCTTCCATACTGATAACATTCCTGCTTTTCTCTTCTCAATAATCACATTCTATCTTTAATAAAATAGCAACACTATCATAGCATCCAGCACTGATTAAACTCCTAACATGTACAGGTGTATTTATACAATGATCTTACAAATGTTCATAGAAAATGTGTATATGACAGAGAGAAGGAAGAAGGGAAGTATCATTATATTCTTAGAATTATATCTAAACTGAGGCTAGTGCTCTGGCATATGGATAAAGCTGCCGCCTACAATATCAGCATCCCATATGGGCATGGGTTCAAGTTCTGACTGCTTGACTTCGGATCCAGCTACCTGCTGTTGTGCCTGGGAAAGCAGCAGAGGATGGCTCAAGTGCTTGGGGCCCTGCACCCACATGGGAGACCTGGAAGAAGCTCCTGGCTCCTGGCTTTGGGTTGGTTCAGCTCTGGTCATTGGAGCCATTTGGGGAGTGAACCAGCAAATGGAAGATCTTTCTCTCTCTCTGCCTCTGCTTCTGTTTACCTGCCTTTCAGATAAATTATAAAAAAAAAAATATCTAAACTACACTGAATCTGTTCTCTTTGTATTATATTAACATGAAAATTAATGAGAAAAATATATATTTAAAATATTTCTAATTTGGAAATGCATATAGTTATTTAAAATAAAGGAATGAGTAAAGAAAATGTGTATTATGAAAAACTATGCATGGATTTAAAAAAATTTCTGCATCAATTTATTTGATTAATTTATCTAATTTTTCAGACCATTTTCCATGAAGTTTTTATATTAAATCAATCTTAAAACTACTCAGTATTTTCTTTTTGTGCTTAGAAGTTTTACTGACCAAGGTTAGAACAATCATCACCTGCCTTGGCATAACTCCGAAATGGAGTTCTTGTTAGATTCAGACTTTAAAAGTCTTTTTAAGTTCATTAAGTTATTGTAAAATAAGAAAGGTTTTCTAATGTTTTCGAAAAAGTACTAATCACTGATAAGTTAATTTCATATTCAAAGTGGTGACCTAACACTTTGAAAGATGACATCACCCTTTTGAATGTATAATGTATTAATTAATCCCAGTGTCCCAGGATAGGGAAAACAGGGTGAGGGGTATACAGGAACTCTTTCTACTGCTACCTCTGTCATACACTCATACACACACACACATACACACACACACAAACTACTCAGTATTAATGTCTACATTTATGTGACAATGAGAAAAATGAGGTTCAGAGGTTAAGTGATTTGATCAAGCCTATACAGCTAAGGAATAGCAGATGGGGATTTGAATTCAAGTCAGCCTAGTTAAAAGCTGCCATTTGTTTTCACAGTACCAAGCAACCTCCACAGCAGTGTTGTGAAAATATAGGCGTTTATCTTTAGTTGGATCCTTGCATCTGTATTGTTTTGCTTATTTTCCCATTTTGAAACAGAAAAAATACTTTAAAAAATCAGGCCAATGTGATTTGTTTAACTTTGGTGCCCAATAGTAGCTCATGGAGATGAGCCTACCTTGGTCCTTTCATCCAGTTCTCTTAATTCCAGCCGGCTCTTCTCCTTGACATCATTAGCTCTTTAGCTTCACAAAGCTGAATTCCTTAAACATTTGATTCTAGCTCTCAAATGCTGCAAACTTCAGTTTAACACATTGGAATTTTGACGTGGGGAGCTAATCATACCTGGTATGTGTAATTTTGATCTCCTTATGTTAATAAAAAGAAAAGCACTGAACCAGGCTCATAATTGTCATAGCTCAATGTTTCTAATTCAACACAATGATATCCCATATTAAAAATAAATGAAAAAACAAAAACTGGTCTCTTCCATGGTTACTGATTGCACTGCCACGACATAGTTGGGAGCAATGG